ATATGCATCTCTCTTCTAAATTCACAGTCATATTAGCCTGATGATGATACTGTGAAGTATCGAAAGCTCGCTTTTTGTGTAAAATGATTTTACAAAAATGTTTTTCAATTATATTAAATATACTTAGAATAAAGTAATACACAGATATCTAATTGGTCATACGGACGTTTATGTTCCCTACAAAAGGTGAAAAGTGATTGAGAGTAGTGGTGGATGGCGAGCATAAATAGTATCATACTTACTGTATGACACTACATTGATCTGGTTCCATACCGTTGTCATCCAAATGTATCCGGTCTTGTACATCATAATCATCATCCTTGTCGATATCATTGATTAAAAATTCATTCTCATCATCGGTTCTTAGTTGATTGTCGTCATTATCCTCGTTTCTGTTCTGAAAATACTCGTTAATGGTTTGTGAATTTGTATCTTCAGTGTCGGTATCATCATAAATGTCGTCCAGCTGTAGTAATTGTCTTTGTGTACCGTTACTACCACTATTATCCAATGCGTCGAATAATGTAACCGATACCAATTCATCTGAATGTTGATCACTTTTTGAATCTCTGTACCTAAAAGATATAATAGAAGAAGAGATCACAAAGCTGAAGTATATTTTCATTTGATGTTATAAGATCAAAATACGACAAAGTTTAAGATAAGTAAAAACGACTTAAAATGATGTAGGTGAAGTTAGCACCAGATTCGAGTAAAAGTTGCCCATATTCGTCTAGGGGCCTGTTCCAAAGTCCCTACTCTTGTTCCAAGCACAACTTGAAGAGCTCTATCCATTGGTATAATCAAAATTTCTATAGCTCAAACCATCTCTTAAATAATCCCAAAATACTGGGAATTTCCTGTATGAATAGTAGAACTCATGTAGTAAAAGTTGCCCATATTCGTCTAGGGACCTGTTCCAAAGTCCCTATTCTTGTTCCAAGCACAACTTGAAGAGCTCTATCCATTGGTATAATCAAAATTTCTATAGCCCAAACCATCTCCTTTTTG